AAAAAAAAAAAAAAATTAAAATAACCATCTTAGCGACAGTTACAGACTGTGTCATTAGAAGTCTATGTGTCTAGCAACACGCTCATCAAGGATTACTTGGTCGCTAGTACCATTTTACTGTGAGATTTTAAGATTTAACCTGTAATATATTTGTTTTGTGTGTTATGTTTGCTTGTTTTCTCTATGTCCATGTTCATTTTTTCCACTATTAGGGTGTCAGTGGTGAGGAAGCTACAGTAAGAGAGAGACCTTTCAGACCACCATGAGGATTTCTGTGATTCGCAGTGAAGGTGCTGCTGAAGAGGATAAACCAGATTATGCCGGAGTGGTGACTTAGGGTGTGGAGCTGCTTAGTAAACTGAGAAGCATTTCCTCTGGGTGTCATGTTATTTACCTACTCAACCTGAGCTATGCCCAGGAACTTAAATACACATTTGAGTTCTTCCAGAAAGTGTTGATGGACTCAGATGGCAACAAACTGTCCCCAAAGGTTCAAATGCTTAAAATCAAGATGCTGCAGTAAGTGCTCACAGGGAAAGCACTGGACAGTTGGGCTGCTAGGATCTGTTCTATCCTATCTGTCTATGTTTATTGTATTTGCCAAAAATGTCAGTGTTTTGTTTTCCAGATTTATAATATTTCATATAAGTTTATTTGATTACCTATTTTACCATATGCCAAGAAAGCTTTGTGCTGTTACATTTGTACTGTTGGGTTTACTGTACTTGGAAAAATGTGTTTTTTAATTGTTTTTGATAAATCTGGCGATAATGGTGCAGAACTGTGAATGTCTTTTTGTGATTTATTACAGGAGATGGGAAAATAAGGTTCATAAAAACATACATTAACTTTACTCAATAACTACATATAAACACTTAAGTTTTATATAAATGTTCTTAACTCAATAATTACATGTAAACACATAAGGCTAATGTAAAATTTCACATTAACTCTATGTGCAACACACAATGATTAAGTAATGTTAAGGTGAGGTTTTAAATAACCCTTATATGTGTATAATTATTGCACAAAGTTTACATAGGAATTTACATTAAGTTTATTTAATTTACTTAAGTATACTCAACATGATATAAACAAGACCGTTTACAATAAACTTATGTAATAAAATTACTTGGAAAATTGTCATGTAATTAAAATACATAAAGTCTAAGTTATTGGCATAATCATTTTTTTGAGTGAGGCTATAGTCTTTAAAAAGTAATGGATCAACCAGAACCTTTGGCATGCAATGTGAAAATGCAAGTGTTTTTTTCGTCTTGTGTATAGGTTGGACACAAAGTGCTGTCAGTAACAGCTGGACTGATGGAATTAAAAAATCGGTTCTGGGTTTCCGCGGCTCCACGATACACTTTGCCGGGACACTTACCCGTCGGCCCCAAGGAAAACGCACAGTATGCCAGCTGGTCAATCTAGCACTGCTGAGAGTAATTATTTCAGAAAATGTCTCTACTGACATATTTTCCTGCTTCCTGCTTGGGGATATTGCTATTTATATGGGGTGAACTATATGCAAAAGTGGGACTCTTTTTGGTAAATGGTTTAGAAAAATCTAATGAAAGCCGTTTGCTCAAACTAACATTTTTTCTATTAGCTGCATTAGAAAGTTTTTTTGTGGACATTTAAACAATTTAAATGGGATAAAACATATATAGAGAGGAACCTTTCATTTCTTGATGAGCTGGTTCGGGTTAAGTGGGAAAACTCTTCTGCAAACTGGACAGTGTTTTTTTGTGTAGAGGCAACATATACTTTAATTGCACGATATTTTATTGACCAAGAAAACAAACCATAAATAAATTCATTGTAACATTTTGTTCGCAAGATCCATCTACTTCAAATAAGTAATTGTTTTCTTTTTCACTTCACGAGTGTCTTTAAATCTACATGAAACATCCCTTGGTATATTTTGCCGACCTTTGGGCCGTGTGGTTCCCGATCGCGATTGACCTGTTCGCCACCAATGAAATAAAGTATTATCATTTTACACTGCTAGATCGCGATGGACGATTTGGGTACCTCGATCTAGCCACATTATTTGCATGTAAAAATGTGTCCCATTTTACCTTAAAAGTACTGTCCCACTTTTACTAGCACCTTCAGCAAAAGTAGGACAGCACTAAAGACAAAAGCAAACAAAAAACTAATATATTTTTTCCAAAATGTGCTTTATTTTTAAAATAATCTCCAGCCCTCTTTTACTAAAACACAACATCTTAAACAATATTCCCCATTATATGCCTATAGCAGCCATATCTTTCGAAAGAGTCATTTCGTTTTCGGTCTATGCACTTGCATCCGTGCGGTTACGCTACACACAGCGTTTCTTGAAATTCTGAACACAATCATAAACAAATACATGAATGAAAACATTTGTTGAAGACCAAATCATATTGTAGCATAATTTTAGCAGTGTTTGTTTTCATTGGTTGTTTTTTTTTTCTTAAGTAGCTTAGGGTTTGATGAACTCACCCTACGTGACAATGGAACCGAGTTACTGATATGACAAGTAAAGCACAATCAAAAACAGGCCTATCTGAATAATCATTATTGATTCATCAATAAACGGCATATAATCTCCACGGTATTATAAAAATGTCTTTCAGATATTTCTTCATTCATAGCCGTGTCCCCTCATCTGCAACTTTTGAACATTCGAAGATATATGCACTGTGTTATAAAGAGCAATATTAGCTTGTTAAAATGTTCAAACAAGCGGACACCTATTGCTTTTGACAAACAAACCTCTGTGGAAATGACACTGCTATTTACAACTAACTTTTGAACTTTTTTTTTACATGTATGGCGGACTGTAGAAACCACATATGAATTTAAGAATATGCTTCACCCAGATAAGTGGGCGTAATGGCCAAAGGTTTCTGAGAAATGCACATCCGACTGGCTGTGTACGGTAGACTCGAAACCACCTCAAACAATCTTGCAGCAGTAATAACCTACCAACGGAAAATTCAGTGCTAAGCGCGGTAGATCGCATGCAGGTTTGCTGCTGCTGAAAGACGCACCTTTAAGCGACACACACACGCCTGTGACTCTCAAAGTACCTGCATGCACAGTGGGCACCATTGACTTTCCCGGACTCGGACGTGATGCTGATTATTCGGACATAACGATTTTTATTTTCAGTGAGAAGTAGGCCTACTGAAACTTTAATAATTACCCCAAAATATTCGCAACAAAATTTCACAGGCAAAAGGGATCAGCGAACTCATTCTAGCGCAGAGTCATAGGCTACTTTCACAGACAACCTGTGACTTTGATTTTTCTTTTGTATTCTGAATATTCACTAAGTAATAAAACAAAAATTATATTATAAAATTAATATTTTTTGACAGTATGGTTTCATTTCGCGTCGCCGGGTTCATCATCTTTACTACTATTTGTGAGTATCTTGAATTTCTATTTTGGATATGTCATTAATTCTACTATCATATTTATTTTTTCTACTATCTACTACTATCATGTTTAGGCTATTTGTTTGTCTGACTAGTCATTTATTTATATTGTTTAGGCCTATTTATTTATGAATTCGTTTCTATTATTGTGGTATTTTTCATTATAAGTACTGGTAATTTTTGTTATCCGAATTACAGCCTTATTGCACTAACGCATTATTAAAGCGACCATTTTACGTTTTCTTTTCTAGTTACCATGCATTTAAGTCTAATTTATCCATCAGATTAGTGCATTTTAATTTTGTATCAACATTCCTGACACATTCCACGCATTGTATAAAATAAAGGTTTATACCATATATACGGATAATTGATTTCAGCGTTTTTAAATGTATTTATTTTGTTATTTATATATAATGAGATCAATAATTTTTAATAGACTACTTATATTTTATTACTAAAGTTTTACGACACACAGTATGTTAATTGAAACTGATCTATTATATTTTCCTGCTTTTCAGTCATTATCAAAGTTTCGGCGGACGACATCCCGATGGTTTTCGGGATATCTGGGAGCAATGTGACCCTCCGAAGCACCTACAAGGAAATTTCGGGCGTTTTTTTGCGTGTTAGCTGGTACCGAATTATGCCAGATGGTCGGGTAGAGCTCATTGCTTATTTTAGCTCCTACAGCACAGAGCTTGGCCGATACAGCGGACAGATACCCGATGGCACCACCGAAGTCTCTCTTACTATCAGAAATGTGACATTTAAAGATTCTGGACAATATTTCCCAGCGGTGCATGAAGGTCAAAAAATATCCACAGGGTCAGTAACTCTTCTGACTGTATTAGGTAAGTCTGGAAACAATCGGGGCACAAGGTGTATGTCTAGGGCATGAAATTGAGGGATTATACTAAAAACCTTGAGACCAACCAATGAAATAGTCCGTTTTTTGGTGTATTCGGACCGTCTGACGCCTTCCTAGTGCCTCACTGAGCTTAAGGTGTAAAACTGCCATTACAATCGCAACGTTACTCGTAACTTAATTAACTCACACGATATCCTCAAATAAGAAATATTGTAATACAAATCTGTCATTAACTCACATCAAAAATTGCAATGAAAATCATTATGATACAGGTTAAAATAAATGAAAGTGGTTAAAAGTCGTAAATGACACAATATACGGGAAAAAGAAATGAACGAAAGTTAAGCCCTTTGACTTTGAGGCCTCCTTGTAATATTTATTCGTTTTACAATAAGAAAATATGGGTCGTTAATGCTGTTATAGGTCAACAGGGTTGGAACACGAAAAAATTGAAATGCGTGAGTTTGGCATAATATTTGTAATTAGCGATTGAAAAGGGGTAATTCGCTAAAAAAGGCGGCCGTCAGCATTGATTTCATTGTAAAGTTTGAATTTCGCAGTTAATTATTTAAAAAATAATCCCTCAGAATGTAAAATATGACTCGTGAATATGGTCCAGATCAGAATTAGCTTCTTTCTATAATTATACTACCATGATTCATATTTATAACTTGATCTACAAAGTATACTTCTTTGATCGGCTATACTTTTAAAAGATTTTGTTAAATATCACCTTAAATAAACCTAGAATTATACAAATTGTGTCACCCACCCAATGATATAATTTAGGGCAGATTACGCCTCTCTATAGCTTTCAAGACTCATTCTGAAAAGCATAAATTCAGAGATAACTTTCCTAAACGAGACGTATAAACAGTCAGTACACAGGTTATATCCTCCTGAGACCCGACCTATTCATTTATGTCCATTGTAGTGGACATTGTATTTTTGCATTTATTTTTTCACTGATGTTGGGAAACTTATTTATTCTTGTTGTGCACTAAAGAGGACATGCTGTGAAATTAAAATAAGAATAAATTTGAAAAAATCTAAATTGTAAGATGTCTTATTTCCTCCAAAGACAAATAACCTACAATTGAATGACACTTTTTTCCTTGGGTCTCAGGAGGATATAGGGGTAAATAAGAGGGTCAGAGCAGGAAGTTCAGAATTTGGTGTTTTATTATGCCTTTTGTGTAAATAACACATAAATAACCCTGATAGCTATACCATAAACTTGTTTAGTTCTTCATTTCATCACTAAATTCCATTGCAACCGAATTTAAATGCCATTAAATGTCACTGCAATTCAATTCTTGCTTGAAATGAGCCTCCAACTAAACCCTTCACTTCCCTCCTTTGTCTCATCGTCTCAGACCCCAGGAGAGACCCGAACTTGCAGCTGTTGGTCAGTCACAAACCGGACGGCAGGGTCGACATACTCTGTGAGATGAGGGACGTGGGTTTGGACTGGGATGGGCCGCATTTGGAGATGGTAGATGACACAGACACGTCACTGATGGACAGCAAGACGGGGGAAGCCGTAGACAACCACAATGTTTTTGTTCGATCTGCAATGATCTCTTATGCTTTGGAAAAGCAGACTGTTCGCGTGGCCTGTGTCAGTCAGACCAAAGACAGACAGACAGTAAGACGACGTGAAGTCACACTGCAGCGCGGTAAGGACACTTAGAGTGTAACCGCTTAACTGCTGTGATTTTATAAGCATCATTAGTGTGTGAAGTTGGGCATTCGTCTCAGATTATTTATAATAAATTTCTGCCTAATGGAATGAGTGCAGCAGCATCTACTACAGGCAGTGCATGCTTCAAGTATCAATAGATGGTATTTTACCAGTAAAACATCCAACTACATGCACCTTACATTAAAATCACTTTATGAAGTCATAATTAGTATGAGGATATCATTAGCTGTCCAGCTGTCCCTCAACTCTCAATGACCAGGGGGCCACTGGCCAAGTGAGGCAAGTGAGAAATCACATGCAAAAAAGAAAGCGTCCTATCTTTTTCAGCTTGAAATTTTACATTTATACAGTTATTAATAATATTCAGGACATTCTGGTGGCCTAGTGCTCCTGCTGAGTAAGATGAGTGACATTTGCAGTGAGGGAGTTGACAGTGGACAAGGCCATCAGGCAGCCCAGATCTGAGATTTGTACTTATAAACAGACGCATTACCCGCTTGAACTGTTTGGACAACTCTAGCAAAGAAGAGGGTAACTCTCTCAGAAATTGTGCAATCATGTCTGGGTTTCTGTTGGCGTCTCTCGGCTTTGCTTTGAGGTCAGTGCTGCACTGTTAGTCTGTAAGCTCCATCACAAATGTGCTCATCGGTATTATCACGGTACAAATAAAACATTCTGAAAATGTTTAAAAAGTACTGATACACAAACTGCAATCATTTCACCAAGTTCTATATTGAAAATCACAGATATGTAGCAGCCCTACTCACTTTTTAAGCTGTCTGGCGTGAGATTTTCAAACAATACCGTCACATTGTACTTACGCCGGACAATTCATAAAGATGAAGGAAACTGGCCTAAACTGTTCTGTTTCAAGAATATATAAATACAAACATATACAGAATTCATTCTTAGCAAATGGGTATTAAACAAGCTCTAAGGCTGAGGCAAAAAAGTGCCGCTTCACTACACTATTGACAACATGTAAAGCTTCAGTTTACATTATTGACAAACTATTAGCAAGTCTTAATGATAATTAAATGTAATACTAAGCGTCTGGGATTTTACCATGAAACCGATAAAAGTTTCAGCATTAGTACAGCTTTGAAATACGCTTGTAAAGACTGATTTCAGGGCCAGATTAGAGAAACATTAGTAAAGTAATAGTAAAATAAAAACATGTTGCGGGCCATATGTAGCCTGCAGGCCAGTATTTTGAGACCCCTGTGCTGGAGCAGTATTATCTGATACTGCGAGTTATCCAATATTGTGAATGACAGTGATATTATCCAGTAAAGTGACAGTGATATCTAATACTTTGAGTGACAGTAATGTGACAGTGATATTATCTAACACTGTGAGTGACAGTGATATTATCCAGTAACGTGACAGTGACGTTATTCAATAATGTGATTGACAGTGATATTATCCAATGAGGTGCTCCTTCCTGAAACTGCAATGTCATTTCAGATGCGATGATCTGCCCGTGGCTGCTGTACCTGTCCCTGCTGTGTGGGGTCCTGTTTGTGGTGACCATGGTCACTGGTGTTGTGTGGTTTTACAAGGCAAAGTGATCCCGCACATCACAGGCACGGGATTCCCTGATAAACGCTCTGATGCTGTAATTAAGCTGCTTTCATTGCTCCGGGTTAACAACCATCATGTGCTACATTTATATCAATGTGATAAAACCGAAATAAGCAAACTAGCATTGAAGGCTTTCCTTTAGAAATTACACTGATGGTATATTAACCATTAGCAGGATAAACAGTTAAAGGATGGATGATGGATGGATGGATCTAAGGATGGAGAGATGGGTGGATCGTGGATGGATGGTATAATAAAGTGATGACTGTTCTGTCTCTGACCATGTAACCAAGAGGCATTGCTTGGCCTGTCAGCATTTAAGAGGCAGCTGTGATGGATTGGGGGTCCCTCAGTGTGTCAGTATTTGGAGGGGGTACTTTTCGAGGATGTATATAAAATTAAATTAAATTAAATTGAACAAGGTATTTTAAAATATAATTTAGCAGTAATATAGTTAGCTGTGATCTATCTGTTGGATAAGTTGTAGTTTATTCATTCTGAAGGTGAACGCGTCGCTAAAATAAAGACAGCCGCCCAAGGCATAATAACTGATATATGCTGCTGAACCTCTTCACTTTAATTTCAACGCAGTTTTTAAAAGTTATTCTTTTGCAGCAATGAGTGATGTCTCATTTTATAAGAGGTTTGCGCGATGTCAGTATCATCATCGCGCATTAATCGCCTAACGCTTATATTTATACCGTAGCCAGACCAGAGACGTCACGTGGGTATTGATTATTTTCCTGTAACCGCACAGGTTGTTCCGACAGCCTAATAACAGTTTTATATTAATGTGTTTTAATGTTTTATTAAACATGTTAATTAGGGCTGTCAAAATTAACGGGTTAACGCGGATTAATCCATCATCATGATTAATCTGATTTAAATTTTTAACGCAATTAACCCATCTGCAGTGCAGAATGATTCAAAATCCCTGAAATGTCTCTGTCAACCCATTTCGGGCAGTTTTAGTGCGTTCCACTTGCCCTCGGAACTCGTATTCCGAGTCGGATTCCGGAGTTTTGAAGCCGGAAGTGACGACATGCACTCCCGTTTCTCGGAGATCCGAGAAATATCTCGGAGCAGCACAGAGGATCTCGAGTTCAGTATCCAAGATGCCTTTATCAACAGAAGGGAAAGTTGTAGTTTTTTACTGTTTAAGCACTACTTCTCATTTGTGGCTCATTAAATCGGTCGCACACGCTATAGGCCTACCGTCCAACTTATCTGTTCAAGATGTTCATGATGTTCAATAAACATGTTAAGTGCATATATATTCCCTTTTTTCTTGAGTCTGTTTGCTCATGCAAAATTATATGTGATTAATATAGATAAAAAATGAATGATATTTAATCGTGATTAATCGAAATTAATCCACAGCAACCCTGTGATTAATCTGATTAAAAATTGTAATAGTTTTACAGCACTAATGTTAATATAAGAATCTTTGTGACTTTTTAACTCTTAAATCAGTCATTATCAGCATAATTGTCCTTGGTTTCCATACACAAGCATGTCTGTTGATGGTGTGGTAGAAATTTTGCTGAATCGATTTGTTTAAGAGTCTGACAACACTTTATTACCACAAAGCCTTGGGGGAACAGACACTCAGCAGTCTTTCATGCGTCTCGTGATCTGCTCCCCGAACAACAAGTGCATACATCTTTTATAGCCAAAAAATGTGACAGCTTACAGACAGTTTAGGGAGATAGGGGTCAAATATCTGCAGACACCAGTTACTTCTGTTAAGCTCAATACATTATCAGGTAAAAACAATTTGACCTTTTCATGATCACTTTTGTGATTACATCACCTCCTTCAAAACACATTTGTCTCACTTCTCCATACGTTCCTTTAGTTTTCTTTTCCCCAATCTTGATTCCCAATATAGACACTTTTCTTATAACTGTTTACTACAGCAGCCTTACTTCTTGAATCAAGTCAGTACCATGTAACCAAGAGGCATTGCTTGGCCTGTCAGCATTTAAGAGGCAGCTGTGATGGATTGGGGGTCCCTCAATGTGTCTGTATTTGGAGGGGGTACTATTCGAGGATGTGTATAAAATTAAATAATTAAATTTAAACAAGGTATTTTAAAATATTATTTAGAAGTAATATAGCTGTGATCTCTCTGTTGGATAAGTTGTAGCTTATTCATTCTGAAGCCAAAAACAAGCTCTTATGCCAAAATATGTTAGTTTCCTTTATCTAAATGAAAGCCTACTATTTAAGCAAGCTTATATTATATGCTTAGTATATTAAAAGTCTCAAGGCAAAAGTTAATCATTACAATTATCATATTTGAATCAGCGTTATCATGAGTTTCATTATCAATTACTGATTGAATTAATATATGATTTGCATAATGTTTGATTTTTCTTCCACGCTCCCCCCTTTGATACAATTTTGTTAAAAAAATTCTCCTCTGGTGTTGCCCCTGTCTGTAGATGAGAAAGGTCAGTGGGGTTAGCAGCAGCGCTCACTATCAATTTAACTGGGGCCTCTGGGTCTGTGGCCCAGTCATTTCCCATACTCACTACATCTGTCTATTTAGTGTGTGCTTTTCATTTCACTATGGCCAATTGTTTCTGTAGTTGAATAGCTTGGAGGAGATCCTGCACGAGTGAATGATGTTGAATAGGTTTGCCTGAACTTGTGAGGAATCCTCTCTGCTTCCATAGTGCTCCGTGGTCGAGACAGACTCCAAATGCATACCTTGAGTCTGTAAACATAGCTACTTTGTGGTCCTTCATTTTCCTGCAGGCCTGGGTCAGAGCAAACAACTGAGCTGCCTGAGTGGACCACGTTTTTGGCAACTTTCCTCCTTCTATTAGGTCCCCATTTGGTCTGACAATCGTATGATGTGGAGGGCTCTCCATTCTCCAGCCGAAGTGAGCACCCATCCACAGGAACTGAGTCTCCCTCTGTTAAATGATCCTCCTCTAAGTCCTCTCTAGGTTTTGCCAATGCCTGAGTTACCTCAATGCAGTAATGATCATCTACTTCCATTTCACTGGGAAGTAGTGTGGTTGGATTTACTGTACCACACCTTTCTATCGTAACATTTGCTAAAGTCAACAGAACATTCTGATAATGCGTCAGTCTAGCAGCAGTCAGATGAGAAGTTTACGCTTGGGTCAGAATGGCATGCACTGCATGAGAAGTACAGACTTAGAGAGGATGCATCTGCACTAGATCTGATGACATCAAAACAGCCTCAGCAGCGGCTGCCACAGCTCGAAGACACGCAGGGAGAGAGCACACGACAGCATCTAATTTTCTGGAATAGTATGCTATCGGTCTAAATCGGCCTCCATGTTCCTGCCCCAAACAGCAGGCATGAATCCTCCTCTCTCATAAACACAATTGGAACAGGTGTTTGTTATTTGGGACCCTCAGTGCCGAGGCCTCACACAGTGCCTGCTTCAGATCAGTGAATGCCCGCTCACATTCATCTGTCCATTCTAACTCATCGTGGGGTCCCAGTCCCTTACCATGCATCAGGTCTTGCAGGGCTGGGCCCTTGTGGCAAAATCCTGTATCCATGGACAACAGTAGCCAATCATGCCCATCCACTTCATCATTTGCCTTTTAGTCACAGGTCTTGTTGCCTGGGCGATAGCTTCCACCCTTTTGGCTCCCAGTTTCCTACCCTGGGAGTTCAGGACATGTCACAGATAGTGCACTTCAGATCTTACCAGCTGCAGCTTGCTTTTAGAGGCCTTATGTCCATTCTCTGCGAGGAACACCAACAACGTTCTCGTGTCCCTTTCACAACCTTCTCTTGTCTCTGCACACAACAAATCATTCACATACAAATATCTGCAAAAATATACTCTCCATGACCTCTAACACTAACCTGCAACTTATACAATAAGGACTCATACATAGGTCCCATACATAGGACTCACATCACTCAAGGTAAACTATTTAAAATGGTACTACTTGGACTTGTCAGCCAGTCAACCATCTATGGACTTCAGTCATAGAGACGCTCTCTACCATCTTGGACTGTAGAATCCCGCTTTCCCCCTCACTTTGCCTTCTAGGACACACCACTTCTATCCGTATTCCACAGAAAATGAAACACCCAGGACTTGTCTCTCTAACTATACTCTAAAATAGTCTTTCAAAACTGGAAATCTAGGAATTCTTGTCACATAAATCATTGGATCAACCTAATTTCAGAAGACATCCTTATAGAAGAACTTTCAGCTCAAAAGAAGAATAATACATCAGTCTTCAAAGACTTTACGGACATCTGGAATCCATTCATAACTTTTCTTCAACTCAGTAATAACTGAATCACTTATACTCCTTACAACACCTATTCTCATCTTCTGCACCCCCCCTCTTTTCCTGGTCATTATCCTAATACATATAACTTCACTCTCTCTCCCTCTCTATCTCTCTTTCCCTTCCTCTCTTTCTCTCTCTTTCTCCCTCCTCACGAACAGCAACCAGTCTTCTCTGTAGACCTCTATATTATAATAAAATACACTAAATAACTGTATATTTGCCTGTCTATATGTATGCCTTTGCCTGTCTACCGTTTACCTGTTAGTCAGGCTGTCTATTTGTCTGTTCGGCCGTCTGTTGATTTGCCTGTCTGTATGGTTGTTAATGTCTCTGTCTGTCGTCTCTATCTGTCTGTCCATTCGCCTGCCCGTCCGCATCCATCTATATAATCAGTTTAATTCTGTTCAACTTGCCGTCAGATATTGTGCTTGTTACTGCTTACCCCTTACTTCACAATAATACGGCTATCACAATATTAGGGATGTGGTGGATGTGGGCCTGTCTGGAGAAATCTCTGTTTATACATAATTGGAAATAAATATAAAGTTGTCTTCTGACAAGGGGGGTGGTGGCGGTGGATTTAAAATAAATAAATAAATAAATAAATAAAAATCATCCACATACTGCACCAATGTACTCCCCCCCTGGGTGAGAGAAACATTCCAGATTCTTCCCTACCTCCTGAGCATACACGCTTGGTGATGCAGTATTGCCTTGTGGCATAAATGTCCAGGTGTACCTTTTCCCATTAAATGTGTGTGCAAACCAATATTGGGAATCTGGCTGAATGGGAACAGAGAAGAAAGCATTTGCCAAAACAATCACTGTAAGCCATTTAGACTCCGGGGGTATTGATGACAGTATGGTAATCGGATTGGGAACTATAGGCGTCCGTGGGTGTATCGATTAATTTACCATCCATGTTGGTGACCCCTGCACTAGAGGCTGTTTTGGACTGAACCAGAGTATGTAAACTAACTCGATGTTGGGACTGTTGGGGTACGCCGTCTCCACCGGGTCCGTGGATGAGAAGAGATTCACAGCTGACACGGGGAGAAGTTGCAAATCACCGGTTTATTCTCTGACAGATTGCAATCAGGGAGCGACCATCTGACATACATTCAGCATGTACAGGAGGGAGCTCTGCCATATGTATCAGCTGTATCCCTTTTAAAGCCCTTCGGGCATTTCCCCCCCCCCCCTCTCGGTACCTTCCGTCTACGTGACAACCACATGTTTGACACTTGCTCTAGTTAGTCGGTTAGTACTTGTCCTTGTGGAAGGCTACAGATATGTAAGGGCTGCTTACGTTTTCTGTCTGCTTCCTCTATCGGTCTCGATGAGGTAGCCTTGCCCTGCCGGCGCCAGTCAGTTAACTGCATTAACTGCATTTTTTAGAATGAACCCCCCCCCCCCTTTCATCATGCCCGGCTTTAAGCTACATTCTCCTTTTCCTCTATTTATTGTATGTTCTTTATAATTCTATTGAATCCCACAGGATCCAACCCAAAACCCTGCACGTGGTATGCTACTATATGACGATGCTACTATATGACGCCCTGAGTAAACATGACTGACCCGTATGGGCTATGAATGAAAAGTTACGATAAGTTAAGAAGATTACTGACTCAACTATCAGGGGCGTCGCTAGTGCTGTTCCTCACCCGCCCCCCGCCCCCCGCAGAAAAATAAAATTGTTTAAATAGTTCGTTCTCATTCATTTCCATAAAAATCAGACCCCCCTCCCCCCCCCCCCCCGTGTCCCACTTCATAAATCTCTAGCGACGCTCCAGGTACATATGTAAATATCATGATACTCTGTTATTCCAATGCAATTAGGATTTTTCAACAACAAAAATAAAACTCTAATAGTTCAGTTAAGTAGTATGTTTAATATCAGTCACTTAATTGTGTCAATGTTCATGCTGGCAATATCAATACACAAATTATGTAAGAAACAAGCACCGCCGAGGGATAAGATTGATAAGTTAAGTAGATATTTGCTTCCTGGTTTGATATGCTCCATTAAAAGACAAAGCTGGTAAAAGAAATTTTCACGAACCCAAGGCCTGCGAACAGTAGCAATGACACATCGTTAAATAAAGCGGCAGGTATTTCCCCGCGGAAGAGGGGAGTCATACCACCAACAAAGGGGGTCGCAGTGGGGATGTCGCGTGGCCCTATTCAGTGTTAATTTAACTTGTTTTAATTTGTTCTGTTTTATCTGTGTTGGAAATTATTTGAGAATAACAATTTCTTCAGTGGAGTTTTATGCGTCGTTGTTGTGTTTATTTTTGAGATTTTGTTAATTGATTATTATGAGTTGGTATGCTCCCAGGGGGTGGAGCCGCCACCCCTCAGGAAGAGCGTTTCACCGGTCATGGGACAGAATTGGTGAGACTGATGGGGAGTCTGAGCGCTGGGTTCTGCGTAATAATTTGACACATAAACTGTCACGCAATATTCTGTAATTATTTCTGTATCGGTTTGCTTTTGATCTTTATGTATTTATTTTTTATGTATGTTTAATTTTTAATTATTTTTTCCATCATTTTTGTAAATATACGTTTGCAATTGTGAGGAAAAGTAAAAGAGTTTTATTTAAGATGATTTTTGTCGGTCTGGTCCTTAACTGACCACCGGCTGGGTGACTCTCAGCAGTACCCATTAGCGGAGTAGGCGGGAGGTTGGGGCACCCGTCCTCGGGCCCATCACTGCAGTTTGTCCTCGGCAAATGACCCCCCGCGGCCGGCAGTTTTTACCGAGGCGGACACATGCGACATTCATCCTAATAAGCATAGTGTAAAATCTATATGTCATAAACATATAAATAGCCTAAATAAATATGCAAAATTGTGGCGCTCTAATTAATTTAATATACTAGTGAAATTAAAGAAACTAATAAAACAATTTAGATTTTAAAAATAAACGGCATCCGCCTACCACTCAGGAAAAAAAATATATTTCCATCCATCCATCTTCTAACCCAGCGATTCTCAACCCGTGGCTCACCACCCAAATTTAAGGGATGGTCGCGAGGCAGAGTTGGAAATGTAAGCATTTTAAAACCAGCAAGCTACAATATGCTGTACATGATGGTTCACGATCAGATTTCCCTGCCCCAATCCTAGAATTAATCTGTATAAAACGGTCTTGGGTCTGCGAATGCTTAACGCAAAACACTCAACCAAACCAAGAAGCCAAACCACAGATGTTTAATTTAAAATTCACTTGCACATTCAATCAGATTTGGACGATAGGCGTTGATTGGTGTAAAGTGCACTGTGCTCTGGACCATTGTGTTAAATTTAACCTATACTTTATGTAGGGTTGAAACAGCTGACATGGTAAAAATTTGGGTCAGGGTGTAAAAAGATTGAGAACCACTGGTCTAATCTATAAAGGCTCAAACTCGTCATGGTCGTGCGATAACAATAACCTCGTTTATAAGCCTCATATTGTAGTTGTCTGTAACATTTCTCCATTTCGTGAATATCCGAAGAACCTGTGAAAATGTTCATAAACTGACACTGTGGATAATCACACTGCTGTGTACAACTAACCCTTTCATTTTTTTTACATCCACGACGCACTGTAGAAACCACAGGTTAAATTTAACTGATGCTTAACCCTGATAAGTGGGCGTAATGGCCAAACGTTTCTGAGAAATATACACCCGACTGGCTGTGTACGGTAGACTCGAAACCACCTCAAACAATCTTGCAGCAGTAATAGCCTATACCAACGGAAAATTCAGTGCTAAGCTCGGTAGATCGCATGCTGGTTTTCTGCTGCAGAAAGACGCACCTTTAAGCGGCACACACGCGCCCTGTGACTCTCAAAGTACCTGCACAGTGGGCACCATTGACTTTCCCGGACTTGGACGTGATGCTGATTATTCGGATATGACGCTTTTTATTGCCAGTGAGAAGCAGGCCTACTGAAACTTTAATAATTACCCCAAAATATTCGCAACAAAATTTTACAGGCAAAAGGGATCAGCGAACCCTTTCGTGGGCACAGTTGTATTTGCAGGACAACCTGTAATCGTATTTAACAGTAATCTGAATATTCTTTATTTAGGCGAAATACAACATTAATATGTAGCCTATACATCGCATCGTAAACGTGTATCGAAATTTACACAGAATGGCTTCATTTAGCGTCACTTGGCTCGTCATCTTTACTACCGGTTGTAAGTATGTTGATTTTGTATGGTTTTGTATTTTAGCACTGCTGTAAATGCCTCTGCCTGTGTTTTTTTTATTATAGTTCATTCCGTTTTGGCGAGGCCTACTATTATTGTTCAGTTGTGGTATTTCTTTATTATTATAAACATTGCTGATTATTATTATCCGAATTACAGCCCTATTGTAGTAATAAATTATGATACAGAGCATTCTGCGTTTCCATTTCCAGTTACCATTGAAACCTAATTTATCCATCAGAATAGTACGTATTAATTTTATATAAACATTACTGACATAAGCCTATTTTTTTCCATGTATAGATAAAATAAAGTTTTACATACATCGAATTTCAAAGTATTTAAATTTATTAGGCTTATTTTATTACTATTTATTCAATAGCTTTGCAAAATATGGATTGTTAGTGGAAACTGATTAATTATATTTTTATGTTTTTCAGTCTTCCTCGATGTTTTGGGGGACAAAGTTCCGGTCGTTTTCGGGATATCTGGGGGTAATGTGACCTTCGAAAGCAGCTACAAAGTTGATTTTGGTGCCTTTTTGCATGGTAGCTGGTACAGAATTATGCCGGATGGTCGGGTAGAGCTCAAGGCTTATTTCAGCTCCTACACCACAAATCGTGACCGATACAGCGGACAGATACATGACGGCTCCCGCAAAGTCTCTCTTACTATCAGGAATGTGACATTTAAAGATTCTGGACAATATTTCTCAGCTGTGCACGATATTGAAAAAATCTTCCTTGGGTCGATCACTGTTGCAACTGTAACAGGTAAGTGTCAAATGGGTCAGGTCCGTAAAATTAAGGGTTTTATTAAAAAAAACCTTAGATATACCTACGGGCTGGTCTAGTTTTTCGTGTACTGTAGCGGTGGCCAATCTTATCCGCAAAGGGCCGATGTGTATGCAGGTTTTTGGGGTAACCTTTAGGTCAGCTGTTCAAACCCAGGTGTGAGGACTCCTCAGCCAATCAGTCCTCTAATTAGTAATATAATTAGGAAGCTGCAGCAAAAACCCGCATACACACCGGCCCTTTGCGGATAAGATTGGCCACCGTTAATGTAATGCCTTCCTTCACCTTCATTGAGTGTCACAGTCTCAGTACACAAAAACTAGACTATTCCACGGGTCCTTCAAAGTGTTTTTCAGTAGAATTGAGCCTCAAACTAAACCCTTCATTTCCCTTCTTTGTCTCATCGTCTCAGACCCCAGGAGAGACCCGAACTTGCAGCTGTTTGTCGGTCACAAACCGGACGGCACGGCAGACATACTCTGTGAGATGAGGGATGTGGGTTTGGACTGGGATGGGCCACGTTTGGAGATGGTAGATGACACAGACACGTCACTGATGGACAGCAAGACGGGGGAAGCCGTAGACAGCCATGGTGTTTTTGTTCGGTCTGCAATGATCTCTTATGCTTTGGAAAAGCAGACTGTTCGCGTGGCCTGTGTCAGTCAGAGCAAAGACAGACACATAAGACGACGTGAAGTCACACTGCAGCGCGGTAAAGACACTTAGGGTGTAACCGCTTAACTGCTATGATTTTATAACCATGATTAGTCTCAGATAATTTATAATGAATTTCTGTGTAATGGCATGAATGCAGCAGCATCTACTACAGGCAGTGCATGCTTCAAGTATTTTACCAGTAAAACATCCAGCTACATGCACCTTACATTAAAGTCACTTCATGGAGTTATAATTAGTATGAGGATATCATTAGCTGTCCAGCTGTCCCTCCTGCAAGAGCAATATTATCCAATAGTGTGAGTGACAGTGATATTATCCAATAACGTGAATGACAGTGATATTATCCAATAATGTGATTGACAGTGATATTATCCAGTAATGTGATTGACAGTGATATTATCCAATGAGGTGCTCCTTCCTGAAACTGCAATGTCATTTCAGATGCGATGATCTGCCCGTGGCTGCTGTACCTGTCCCTGCTGTGTGGGGTCCTGTTTGTGGTGACCATGGTCACTGGTGTTGTGTGGTTTTACAAGGCAAAGTGATCCCGCACATCACAGGCACGGGATTCCCTGATAAACGCTCTGATGCTGTAATTAAGCTGCTTTCATTGCTCTGGGTTAACAACCATCATGTGCTACATTTATATCAATGTGATAAAACCGAAATAAGCAAACTAGCATTGAAGGCTTTCCTTTAGAAATTACACTGATGGTATATTAACCATTAGCAGGATAGACAGTTAGAAGGGTGGATGATGGATGGATGTAAGGATGGAGAGATGGGTGGATTGTTGATGGATGGTATAATAAAGTGATGACTGTTCTGTCTCTGTCTTCCTTCTCCATCAATTGCAGTGATAATTTACATGCAACCATGTAACCCAGAGGCATTGCTTGGCCTGTCAGCATTTAAGAGGCAGCTGTGATGGATTGGGAGTCCTTCAGTGTGTCTGTATTTGAAGGGGGTACTGGGTAGTATTCTGTTGACACATGTATTAACACAGCAAATTTATAAATGCATAATATCATTAATGTATCAGCTTGGGCTTGGATTTTGGGCAATGTATTTGTTATGAATTGTAATCTTTAATAATTAAAACTGCTTATGTTCAACTCAGCCGTTGTCATCTTTATTTTCAGGGCTGATGAAATGTTACTGAGGATACCAGCATGCAAACAGTGTGACCTTTAGCGCAAAGCGGAAAAAGAGATGAAGGGTATAGGAGGAGGGAAAGAGAAGCCGAAAAGACAGAAAAACATCTTCTCATGAAACAATTCAGATGCTTCATGCTACACCTGTTTATTTCAAATTTAACGTAACGAACAACTGTAATAACTAATTTGAATAATATTCATGTTTCTTTATAGCATTATTTCAAGCTACATACATTATAATAGACTAATATCTTAAGTCATTTACAGGGTCTTTAAGTGTACATTTTAAGATGACAGCGATACACACATACAACATACAGCAATGACATAAAGTAATATGATTGCATTAACAACATTTTTGGAACCGGTCAAACGCAACAGGGGAAACATTTATGACAAATATCGTGACTGTATCTTCAGTATAGAACTTTAAAAAAAATGTGACACATATGCCCATGTAAAATATTTGAAATACATTTTAAAATATTGACTTTGTTGACTTCCATGTCTTTTATTGTGGCACTCAAAGGTCTTGCAATTCCCTATAATAACAGAACCTGGGTAATCCAAACAAGTATGGGTATAAAACGGAATTTTAAAGAAAAATTATATTTAATTAATATAATTTTCTAGTATCATAACAGTATAATGTAAATGACGAATGGAATAATCAATAATAATTGTTAATAACTGAGGCATGAGATTTGCATTAAAACTCATCCATTCTTGGAATTCAAGAAGAATGGGACATGCCGTCATGCATCTGGATGGTGGAGAGCAGGATCGGTCCTCTGTCCCCCAGATTGGCTTCGGAGGTGGGGATACGCGGTATTTTTCATATTTGTTGCCGTATGAGCACGGAGCACGGAATTTGTGGGGCATCGTTAAGAATGCAGTGATGAACAAAAAACAAAACAACGAAATAATTCGATCGAATTTTATTAATAAAAACCAGAGTTGTGTGTATTTATTAACAAAAGGTTATATTTGAGTTTTTCAAAAACAAAAAGACAAGTGCACCCTCTTTTGTCTTGCGTATTTTGTCTTGCATTATAGAGTAATATAGTATATTCATTTTGAGACAAGTGCCTAAAATCAAGTTTGCAGAAACTTGTTTTCGATTGACCTCATTGTCTTACCATTGCACGTACGCGCAGTTTTTTGTGTTGACACCTACGATTGTGGTTTAAGAGCAAACGATATTGTTTGCTGAGTGCCCACCCGGTCTGAGAAACGGATGCCTTTCTGTGGGTAAGGGGCTGTGTGTTTTTCCACTGTAACGAAAACATGCACATACTCAATTCGACTTTCTACCACTAGAAGTCCACAAGCACGCAAAGGTCACGGCGACTCATACGTCAGCACTTCTTGTACTGCAGCAGTAGAATTCGGACTTCCAGTGAACCTTAACATGTTCAGGATTCACTGCCTTTTAATTTGCCCTTTCGGTGAGTTCCTGGTCACATGCAACGTTTGAAAATTATGCAAAACGTACTTTTTATTGAAAATGTATTTTTCAGAGTACTATCTAATACCTTAAGAGGCGTGTGTATTCTGCAAACCGGCAATATATATATATTTTTTGAAATCGGTGAAGCAGAAGTCCAAACCGGTCATATCTCTGACATGATTATTTCTGTTTTCCACAGTTTTCCATGCCTGTGGTGAAGTGCTTCGCTTCCTCTCGCCCGGGGACAATGTTACACTGCCCTGTAATTGTTCTGAAAGCTTCGCTTGTCAAGTACAGCACCTCCGCTGGATCCGGTTAACACCGAACCGATCGATGGAAATTATTAATACTGGCGATAAAACAAATAATTCCCGGTTCTGCGTAAGACAAAAAGTCATGGAAATAACTAAGATGAAATCGGAGGATTCTGGTCGGTATTACTGTGTAGAGCACAGCTATAGCTACCTGAGCTTTATGGATAACGGAACCGTCCTGCAAGTCGGGGGTAAGTAAGAAATCACGACAGTACCACAACAGTGCCTTAAAAATGTATTTAGCATGAAAAATAATCGAGATTCGGAGTTTGGGGACGGTGTGGGTGACGGAGAGTGTGCCGTACAAATAATGGAAAATAATGTGAATATCACACTAGAACAACATCATAATATACAAAACGCAGGGAAAACACATATAAATGAAATCGATCGGGTTTTAGGAGGTTGTGTCTTTTTGTCTGTTCTATATGATACCGACCATCATTGGTCTATCATGAACATAACGAAAAGGTTAAAAAAAAAGGAGAATAAAGAGCTAGCCTATAAGCTGGAGAATCGATATAAGCCGTAGAACGTGTAAAAATGAAAGATTAGTTTTTATAGAAATATGTATCCAAGTGCTGCATATTGGATAGGGTGCAATTCATATTGCCAGAATACTGCCAGGAATCCTGGATCGAGCAAATTTAATTTATGCGAAACTAAAACGTGATCGTATGGATGCTTATGAATATTTAGATTGTGCCATAAAAAACCTACAGAAAAAAATCAGATACGTCTAGAGGTATAAATGTCCATGTGAGGAAAAATGCAAGCGGGATTATTAACTTTAGTTGCTATAAAAATGAATTTGAAAATATCGCCAATGAACACAGCGATAAAAGCCACGTAAAAAGAAGGAGAATGAGATTTACTATGGCGCATAGTCACCCAGTAAAGAGAGGAAATTAAACTGCAAAAATTTCCAAAAAAAATAACTGAAAATACGATTTTAAAAAACATAATAACATAATAAACATAATTAAAAAATAAAGATGCGGTGAGCACAAATATGCAAAAATAGCACAGCATTTGAGTCAATCTGACCCCTTTAACTAAAAGGAACCTGTGGTTGTTTTATTTTTTATACAAAACATGATATCAGATTTTTTATATCTATTTTATATCCAAATTTAAATGTAAATTAGGAAAATGTAACTTAACCTAATCAAATCCAAAGGGAAACACATTTTCCAGCATTGCTGTTTTGTGGGGAGCAGTCCAGTAATAGTCATAACAGAATAACTAGTAATTTGATAGCAGCTAATGTAATTCAGAGAACTGCATGTCTAAGATAAAACGATAAAATCCACAATATAAATGTAAGAATCTCTAAGGGTGGGAATTTATAAAGGTACAGCTAGATAAAAATCGAAATAAATGTCATGAAATATCAAGAAATGCCACAATGAAGATTATTTCTTTCTTCATTCGTATTGTTTTTCAGATGTTTGGACAAACGAAAGTAAGTTATTGGTTATGAAGGATGAATCCGGAAATCGAACCGAAAATAGGAGCAGGTTACAGTGTGTAGCGACCGGCCTGGTTTCCCCCTGGGTCAGCGTCACCTGGCATTTCTCTGGGATGCATGGAGAAGGCGACTTCTTAGGCCAGACATGGTCATTTATGGAACCTTCTGGAAAGTGAGTCTTACTGACGTATTAAACTTCATTTATTCAGTAGCTAAATCTGCAAGCTCCATTTAGCAAATAGGAATCCGCCTTTGTAACTCAGCTAACATAATTTATGCGCTCGAGTTCGTTAATCATGCATGAATCTTGCAATATTATTTGAAAATATTTAATATGCAAAATAGTTCTAGGAAAAAAACTAAAAAGAAATAAATGTAAACTGAAATTCGTTCTCTTAGCCTTAAGAAAAGGTACTTAAATCACTTTGTTAAAATATACAGCTGTATAAATGTGCAAAATTGTTAGTAACTGGATAAAATACTTTTTTTTTCATCTAGCATTAAATAATTTCACAATTGAATTTGCTTTTTATTATTCATGTATTTTATATACTAATTTTAGAAATTACCATATTATTACAGCTGAAGATCATTCAACACCTTAGAATAAAGGTGTTCCAAAAAACTAGAAAAGTAAATGTTAATTCGCAGTTATTTCATACATTACTTGATATGCCACCAAAGTATTTGGATCCCAAGTAATTCTGTGAATTAACATTCCTTAACTGACCACCTAGCAAGTATGAAGTTATCACATACAGCCACACTGACTTCATCATTAGTTTCTGGTGAGCTACAGCAATCCATGATACATCTTGCATTAACTCATGCATTAAATCCTCATGAGTCATGAATTAGTTAAGCATTACTTAGGTTTGTGATTAACACCCTTATTAAAAAGGCAGTGAATGTTTCCTCCAAACAACTTTAAATAGGATTCACACCAAGTGCTGATTTGTGTCCATGTCATTTTTGCAGATACTGTGTCATTAGTGAACCAGTTATACCACCTTGGCTTTTGGAGCAGCTCAGTGAAGATGGTGTCCCGCTGAATGGCGATGTGCAGGATGAGATGGGGGCCTGGTGGTGTGAACTCCAAACTGGAAAGAACAGCAGTGTGAAGAGCCAGGTCTTTGGCCACCAGACACACTCAGGTGAACACGTGTGTGCTTACTACAACGCTCCTGAATGCAGCACATTTTCTGGCAGATTATTCAATTAACTTAAACGAGTAACAATCTGATGAAATTTGGTCAAGCCTATAACCTTCTGGTCACAGACGCAGGTCTTTAGCTGTTTAACAGTAACCCTTAGCATTCACAGTTTGACTAATGCCTTGTCCACACGTACACGGGTATTTTTTAAAACGGTGTTTTTCCTCCTCCCTTTTTAAAAAAATCCCCGTCCACACAAACATTGTCTTCTAAAATATTTCCGTCCACATGAAACCGCTAAAATGCGCTGTCAAGAGTATGCCAAACCAACAGGCGGCATTATAACTCTAACCGTACTGCCACGTTAGCCAATCAGAAGCCTAATTGCCAGTCCTGTTAAGTTGAAAACCATGGAGCACATTACGACGCCTGTGTTGATCAATATAATGCGAAAGTGACTCAACATTTATCTGTACACATGTAAGAAGTCCTGACAGCAAGGTCAGCACAAGCACTATTTCGGCTAAGTCCGCCATTGCTCAAACTCACCTAATGTATAAGAACATAAGTATACAGCAAACAGCGCTCTGATGTTAAACGAAGTGGACAACGGTGCACAATCTGACGTTTCGAGCCAAAAACACTGTTTTCCCTGTCTACATGTCGATGCTGAAAACAGAGTTTCTTAAAATCTTCACCCTTAGTGGAGTTTTGCAAAATCTCCGTTTCCAGTGACCTAAGACGCCGTGTATGTGTGGACAAAAGCCCAAGACGTATAGAAAAAGGTACGTTTTAAAAAATACCCGTGTACGTGTGGACAAGGCATAAGTGTCACAGGGTGGATTACCCACTCCTTTTGAACTGTCTTGGCCTTGGCTATTCAGAGTGCCCTTAATTAGTGCATTCCGTATAAAAAGGGCAGTTTGACGCCACTTGAGCATGTGCTTGGTGCTGGAGTGACTGCTTCCACCTGTCTGGCAAGCTGTTTCTTTTTGGTACCTGGGGCTCGGTTTTGATGTTTATGTTTTGGTTTGTTTTGGTGCTGGATGGGTGGCCACATACTCCACCTTGTTACCAGTGCCCCCCCCCCCCCCCACTTGTTGCTGGATTTTTGGCTGTTGTCGAGGGATCTAAAATTCAAGACAAGCTGCTGCCGCTTTTGCTTCTGCACATTCTTACCTCCATGTTTACTGTTGTTGATTTTCTTTTTGATTTATTTTTTATTGTTTAATGGTATCAGTATTGAAACTTTTAACCGTGTCCGTGATTTGCAAAGTTCTACTGGAATTTGATTTGTTTTAACTCATGTCCCAAGTAGTTAAGCCTGACTGAAGCCCTGTGCTCAATTTTATCTTTTATCTTTATCACTGCCAGTTGCCTGTTAGCTGGGCTGTGAGTTTGACGAGGGAAGGATAGACGCCATTCAATTGTAGCGCAGTGTCCTTTTTTAAGTGCCTGCTAAATTTTCTTTTTTTTGGTGTGCAAGCAAAGCACATGCATGGCCTTTTGGTTAATGTATCTCCCTACTGGTCAGATCCCGCTCGTTAACCTTCTTTCCCATCTCCCTACTGGTCAGATCCCATGCGTTAACCCTCTTTTGCTGGTGTTTGAATCAATGCGAGCCGTTAAAGGCTGGTCCCTAGAGGGGCTAAATTTCTTGTTCTATATAATTGTTGTCTTCATTTATAGTATCATTTTGTATTAATAAATTATATTTGGCACCTGGTTACACGACTCTGCCTGCCTTGGTAAACAAACCTGTGTGACCTATCGGTTACTTTAATAGTGGGTTAATTTCCCCGGGTGGAAGTTCCTGGGTAGTTCCTGGAAGTTGCACCTGCATAATCTTGTCCCCCCCACACACCACACAAGCATTTCAGAGTGTGTTCTAATAATATTGTTTATGGGTTTCAGAGTGGTGCATTCCGGTCATCTCCACTGTGTTGGCACTGTGCATTTTGTTTTTGTCCCTTGCAAGCATTACCTGCTTTAACCTCCTCCATCGGTCACCAGGTAAGCTGCACTGTCATGTGCCCCCCCCATAAAGGGCTGCTTGGCAAAGCTGCACTCCCACCCCCCTGAAAGCCAGTTAGACTGTTTTTTCTTCATTGTGAGGCGGTTCTTGTTAAGGTGCATACAGAAGCAACAAGCAAACATAAACTCACTGGGTAATAATATGAAACTGAATCATAGATTTGTCGGAATAGATTTTTACATGTTTGCAATATTTTTTTAATATATTAATGTTTTTACAATATTTATACATGATTTCTAAGTTTTTTTATATATAAATACAAGTAGAATACAGAAAGACATTGTCAATAATAATAATAATTAACTTGTGTTACAGATTCAGTCCCTCCGGAAACATTGCCGTCACCTTCACATGATTCAGTGAGTATTTCGTTTTTTTCTTGTAGTGTTTTAACTTCTATTGCTGTGTTCATAACAACAATTGATATGAACTGCTTACAGAGAGATGTCTACACTGACGTCACCTACACTCATCTGGATTTTAAGAAAGCATCGCAAAATGGGAGAAGACATGCAGAAAAGGGACGGAGTAGTAAAGAGGACAGATTGGTGTACAGTGAAGTCAGATATAATTGTTAATTTTAAAATAAACACGCGAATACTGCCAATGCAAATATAAACAGAGAAATGTTTCCTAAATTAAAGATTGTTTCATTTCAATAAATATGTATATTTTATAGCAACGAATATAAATTATAAATGTAACTGTCTCAAGAGGAATGTACATGTGATTGATGTGTGTCTGTCTATTGAATAAAAAATACATTTATCGCTGCATGGCTGTCCTAAACTGTGTGATTTGTCCATATGTAATACTGTATTTTGTTCCGAAAATACATATACATTGTATTATAAGACCCATGGAAAGTATGTTAGTCACTATAAATACTCTTAACAAATATTGTGATATACTAAAAATGTATCCAAAATCGCACTGTTGTATACAATTGGCCTTCTTTACAAAAACTAAGCATGACCGCTTATTTCTGCCGTACCGCATTAAAACTCAATACAACGCCACCCGCTTGTAAACCGCCGACACGCCTGCTCAGGTTAGCTGGTTACTTTAGGCACGCGGGCTCCGCCTACCCTTCATATAGTGCGTCACACGCGCTCGCAGCGTGTGCTTCGTTTCCGTTAACGGGGGCGCGCTCGTCGCCGAGGAAGACGACGTGAGAGCGTGAACGCGCGAAGGTGGGGAAGCTCGACAGCAGCTTATTCTAACCCAGGGACCGAGAGAGAAACGTCAGCACGGATTTCCTTTGGGATAAAAGAACAGGCCTCGCCGCTAAAACGGTAAAATAGCACAAAAGCGCCCGGCTGTCGCGTTTCTTTAGGCGGCTGACGCTCTCACGGGCGAGGCCGCGTCGGGGCCGTGTGCATCCTTTTTTTCCGAGCTGCTGCTAGCTGTATCGCGGCCGGTGCCCCCCCGCCTCGGCCCGGCCGCAGCTGGCGGACTCGCCCCCGGAGCCGTTTCTCAGCTCGCCAGCCAGTAAGATGGCGGTCGCTGGGGTGCGCAGCGCCGTTTGGATGTCGGGTATAAAATGGCGGTCGTGAGATTTTCGACTGTCACCCATTAAGCCGAGAATGTGCTGCATTTCCTCGCCGATATTCGCCCGGCATTGCGTATACATTTAGCTGATATTTCCTGCCTTTTGTCGCTGTCTGGCAGCAGTTTTAGTGGTTGATGCGCGCATGTAGTCGGGGCTCCCTAGGGCGCTGTTTCATTTGGATTCTGCGGAAAAGGAGCTGCCGTCCAGTCCGGCCCTGACCCACTCTTCCCTCCACACCATCCGACAGCCGTTCTGGCAGGCTGGGCCGCCGACAGTCCGGAGCTTCGGGCCCGCGGCCTCTGGGCAGTAAAATCTCATCAATAATGACGTTAACCGCCAGTGACCCCGGCAGAAACGGGCAGAAGCTCGGGACTTTGTACCGCCAACTGTAATATTAAAGTATAACTTCGATTCAGACAGTTTTAAGACGATTAGCCGGTTCGGATAGCGTCTGGCTGCCATCCAGCGGATGGTTTAACCGCCCCAAAGCGATGTCGGCCAGCTAACGCTGTGCATTTTTTCGCAGCATCCCCACCATAGTGAATTTTTACAGGATTCAGGTTGTGTGAAGGTGTGCATTTGCTGCGGGTTCGTGGAGATTAGGCGGCATCAGGGATTTTTTTTTAATCTTTGTCTTAAGTTTAAAACGCACGTCTTATGATGGACGATTACGTTACATATTATCCTGTAAGACAAGTATGTACACAATTTAGGAAATGTATTGTGCGTATATATATATATATATATAAATATTATTTTTGATTTTTATGTTTAGTGTAACTTGCTAGTCAGGATATGTAATTTGGCAGAAAATAACGTTCGTTAATTGTCCCTTCTCTGTATTTTGGGGCTTTGCATTTCAAGTAGTTGTACTGTGTTACTCTGAAATCCTCTGGACTGCTGTAAGACTGTCTGGTGGGCTGTGGGTAGTGAACAGGTGTGAAAGGTGGATGGTAACACGCCCCCCCCCGCCCCCCAATACCACATGCACACACACGCACACACACACACACGACCAACTTCCACACAACCCCCCTCACCTTTGTCTTGTGGTCTCTGTTGTGTGTGCTTTAACCACCTGGTCTTTCCCCTCGTAACACACTCATATTAATTCCCAACGTCAGGACAAACATTTTACACATGTTTGTGTTTGTTTATTATCATTGTATGATTTTGGGTTTTTAGGCATGTGTTGGCTTTGGTATGTGGTTGACTGACTCTAGGCCAGATTGTTTTCCTGTATTCATATAGTTTTGCTAGTTTCTTTTAAAGTGCTTGTAGGTTGCATTTTTAATGTTATGAAATATGTCCTGCACCAAAGGCCTCAACCACTCCGCCCTCTGATGGCTCTGCCCCCTTCTCCTTGTTACCCCGGCTCAGATGCCTCACTCACGGCGGTACCCATCCTCGGAGCGGGCCAGTCGGAGCAGCTACCAGGACCGGTACCGGGCCCGCAGGCACCGTCGGAGGCGTACCCCTTCCCCGTCGTCCAGCAGTGAGCGGGAACGGGACCGGCGAGGCGGAGGCCACCGGCACGAGGGCAGCTACCTGCGCTCCAGGAGGTGTGTCAACCGGCTCCAGCCGTGAGAAGCGCGGTGCGCCGTGGCGGCCCACTTCTGACGTGCGTCCCCTTCCCCCGAAGCTATGAGAGCCGCTCGTCGGACCGCAGGATGTACGAGCGGCGCTACTGCGAGGGCTATCGGCGTCTCGCCTACAGCCGCGAGCGGGAGCGCCAGCGAGGGGCCGCCGCCGCCGACAGCTTCTACACGCATGCCGACTTCGCCCCGCGCCCCTACGACTTCCGGCGCGACCGCGAGAGGGAGCGTAACCGGGAGCGCGAGGACTCGTACGGCCCGAAGGGTAGCAGGCGTAAGCACAAACGAAGGAGGCGTAGAACCAGGTCCTATAGCGCGTCCTCATCGGTGAGTACGGACCCTCCCTTGTGTGTGTATCTCCCCCCCCCCCCCCCCCCCCCCCCCCCCCCCTCGCCTCCCCCCCCCCCCCCCCCCCCCCCCCCCCCCCCCCCCCCCCCCC